TTCATCTGACCACATGACATTCTCCCAATCCTCTGCTGTATCATCCATGTGCTCTCTGGCAAACTTCAGACGGGCCTGGACATGCACTGGCTTCAGCAGCCTTGGAAGCCTTGGAATTGTCTCTGTTTCTGGATTAGATCATTTTCCTCAGTAACCCAATCCAACTGAAAACATACATCTTCTCATTAGCTTTTCTTTTCAGCTCAAATTACTGTAGTTTTAATTTATTGTGCCATTTTCATTCATTAATTTCATTAATTTAGTAGCTTAAATAATTATATTTTATTTCTTGTTCTTAAATCATTTTGTATTGTTTCTGTGATAGCACGTTGGTTCATGTGTCGTGTGCTTAAACGGTCTAGATGCAGTAATTAAACTGACCTGACTTGAGTTTGTTTTTCAAAACATCTTAATCAGCCATCTGCGTTTGGCTTATTCTTTTAGGAGCATACGATGTCTTCGAAACATCATCCACTGGAACTTAATCACCACCTTTATACTGAGGAATGTTATGTGGTTTTTGCTTCAGCTGATTGACCACAATATCCATGAGAGCAATGAGGTAACAGCAGTGATGTGTTATGGGATTTGAAAGTATCACTGAGGTGTTAATTTACCAATACAAAGTCTTTAAAATCTTTTCTGAATTCTTTTTTTTCAGCCTTGGTGTCGCTTAATAACGACAATATACAACTACTTTGTGGTGACAAACTTTTTCTGGATGTTTGTTGAAGGATGCTACCTTCACACAGCCATTGTAATGACATATTCAACTGATAAGCTGAGAAAGTGGGTCTTCCTGTTTATCGGCTGGTGTAAGTATGATTGTTATCAATGCATTTGTCATGCTATATTCAGCTCAAGGCATTTTTTTATGAAACACATTTCATACTCTATGGAAAAACCATAGTGCTTTATAAACTCTATTCAAAGCATAAACAGGCTGAATATACAGACTTTAGTTTAATAAAATGGTAAAATGAAACAAAATAAGACAAAGTATTATTAGGTGGCATTACCTTTACCTTAAGCCAAGCTATCATCTGTTTGGACACAATGAACATAAGCTTTCCTTTGATGAACCAATACTTTTAAATGAGTGGATTGTGTAAAATGCACCATTTCAAAGGCCTTGAATAAATCTAAAAACAGGGCACAGCAATGATATTTTTATCCATTGTGTTATTAAAATCTGTCACTGTATTTATAGAAGTTTTTTTTTTTCCCATTTTACTATACTCTGATCTCTCTAAAAACTAGCTGATAAGGTTATAAGACATTTCTTTAGAAGATTAAAGTACAGCAGAAAAAAAATTGGAAAGCGGCTCGTACGAATGTCAAATATTTATTTATTTGTGTTATTGATTCTTGAAGGACATACATAATCAGGTAATCATTAAATCAGCAACCAGGGCACACATGCATTTAAACATGTAGACATGATCAAGACGGCCTGCTGAAGTTCAAACCAAGCATCAGAATGGGGAAGAAAGGTGATTTAAGTGACTTTGAACATAGCTGGGATTTTTTAATAAATCCTCTTGAGAATTTACAGAGAACGATTAAAAAAACAAAACAAAACAAAAAACAGTTCCCTGGGTGAAAATACCTCTTTGATATCAGAGGTCAGAGGAGAATGGAAAGACTGCTGCAAGCTAGTGGAAAGGCAGCAGTAACCACTCATTACAACCAAGAAGAGCATCTCTGAATGCACAGCTCTTCAGACCTTGCAGCCACGTCAGAAGATCAGACTTGGCGCCACTCCTGCCAGCTAAGAACAGGAAAGTGAGGCTCCAATTCACACAGGCTCACCGAAATTGTACAACAGAAGATTGGAAAAATGTTGTCTGGCCTAATGACTCTCAATATGTTCTGCAGCACTGTCAGAATGGTGGAAACAGCATGAACAGAGGTGGCAATGTGATGATAAAAAATACTAGTATATAAGTATACAATTTTTATGTAAATTGAAATAATCCTTAAATGTACTCAGCTTGAATCAGTTAAAGAGAACATGAGCAGAAAAAAAGAAGGAAAATGAAAAATAGCTCTGTTTTTTGTTGCCTACATTGTAGAGGGTAACTTTGCCTCTAACGAGGAACATGAGTAGCGAAGAGGTTAAAGTGGGATTCAGCAGGTGAGGGAACCCTAATATTAGTTGTGGTTCAGCGTGGGGAAAAAGAATCGCAGCTCACAATAATTTCTATTGAGAGCTCCAGTAGGTTTTCTTAATGTAGCGGCTGTGATCAGCTGATCTAAATCCACCACAGTGCAGCAAGTTAACCAGTTTATCCTGCACTAACCTGCAGAGTATTTTCATGCAACCTTTAACCTCCTAAGACCTAAACTCTTCCACGGCATGCATTTTTTTTTACCTTGTTTTTCTTTTTATGAAAAATGAGAGCCGCATATGAGGATATTCATTTAAAATTTTGATAGAACAGTAGCAGTATAATGTCCTCATAAGTGGATATCAGGCCCTTGTAGAGCAAAACTGTATTTTGGTCTAAATAACCCAAAATGTGATGTCCACATATGTGGATGCCAGGTCCTAGGAGGTTAAATAGCACAGTTAGTCTTGCTCAGTTTGTTTTGCAGCATGTTTCACAATATGAAAAAAAAAAACATGTCGCATTTACAGACCTGTACATACCTGATTAAAAAATTAGAAAACTTGCATATCCAATTTATCAAACACTACTGAGCAGTCCTTACCTTTAAATCTAACCTCTGTTCTTCATCTCCTGTCCCGCCTTTCTTATCTTTCTCTGAGTGATGTTAGCGCTCTTTCTTTTCTCTCCCTGTGAAATACAGCAGCTGGACCTTCAGCTAGAAAAAAAACTGCAAAATAAACTGAACACAGACAGTTTGTTTGTTAAGCTGATAGAAACACTGCATTTGAAATTACCTGCCACAGTGATAAAACGTCACTCCTTTAATACTCGCTTGTCTTCTGTAGAGCTGACTATGGCACACGTTTGGTTTTGTTGTGTGTGTGATGCTGTTATGTCAGTATGGACCAAAGGCTTTGAGGAATTCAACCTTGTTCGATCTATGCCATGAAATATTAAGGCAGTTTTAAAGGCAAAATTGGATCCAACATGGCGCTAGCAAGCTGTAACTAACAGAGTGACTGGTGAATGTGCTCAAAATTAGAAAAAGAACAGTTTTTCAAACAATACATATACTCAAAAGGAGAATTTCACTTTTCTTGCATTAATTGAAAACCAGGTTGTGACAAAACACTGTTATCAGGCGTTATTGTTTGAACTGAACATGTGCCCGAGAGTACAATCACTTCTCCAGTGAAGAGGAGGGAAACTCTTTAGTGGTTCATATCCGAGATAAGACTTTAATTTAATAAAAGAACCGGCATGCAGCGTGCTTGACTTTGAGTCCTGAATATGCAGCAGATATCCCATCATGACCCTATAAATGATCTCACCTTGACTGATAAATCAAGCATATTATATGCTGTACAGAGCCAACATCATCAGGGACAGAAATACACAAAGTATTCTGCTCGCATGCTTCCCGGAAACACTGAGATTTTCTCCTTCTGTTTATGTAATGGACATAGTGTGCTCAGCAGAAAGAAAAAACCCCTCATACTTTACTTCAAACTAGGTCATGAGAAAATGAGTTAATGGAGCTTTGTGAGCACAAGATTAAAATATGAAGTCTTATCAGCAGATGTAGAGAGTAGATGACGGTGAATGACAGATGGATGATATTATTGGGAAGCTAATGTTAGCTTTGAAATAGAAATAAAAAAAAGATCTCACACATATTCATCAGATTTTTAATTCTCTAATATGATTTTAATAAGAATATAATAGTAAGTACTGGCAGCTTGTCTCAAAAAGATTAGATTAGCAGAGTAGTTCCTATTTGCAGGTCCACTCATCCACTCCACCTCCATATATAAAGTATTATCCATTTAAGTCGTTAATTTCATATTAACAATCATAGAGTATGTACAATATAATATATGCTTTATTTTAAATGGGGTTATTGCAGGTGCTTTCTCATTGGGTTTCATTTGGAGAGGCTTCTAATTAATTTCATTAGGAGGTGATAGAAGTGGGGCGCATGAAATCTGTCCGCTACCACAGGTCTGATGAGCTGGGATCAAAACTGCTTTTGATGTGTGTTTCATTTAAAGTGATTTTACTGATACTTTTTCAGATTTACGAACATTTCGTCCGATTTGTGGACATTTTCCTCCTGCAAAGCTGTTATATGTTACATGTAACGAAAAATTTGATGAAAAACAGTCTGAAGACAGCTAATAAAATTAGTATGCGCTGAACGGTGATTGCATTCGCGTTTGATTGATACGGTCAGTGCAGTTGCTCTTTTCTGGAGAGTTCAATGCTTTTTATAAGAAATCTCAGCCTATTCAAGCACACTTGGTCTTACTTTGTCAGGCCTGGCACCTAACACGCTGATTTGACACGTTAACGCATGGCCTTTATTCAGCAGTGACTGATTTTAGAGGTATGGTGAACTGGTCCTTTTTTGTTTTATTAAAGCAGTTAAAAAAGATTGTTTTGATTTGAACGTGCATGTTGTTTGTTTTATATGTGAAAAACCTTCTATTTACTTTGTCAAAGCATCAACATCAAAAATTTTCCAGATATACATTACATGCTGGACTAGGGGAAGCAGTTGTGATTCATGAGTTATATGGTATGACTCTGAAGCCCCTTTTGGCAGAGATTATGCTACTGTTGCCGTTACTCTATAACCCTTGAGGGCAGTAAAAATTGGAGCATGTTCTGTTTTAACTTGATTCTTTGTAGTTGAAGCGTGTTAGTTTGTTATCCCCTCCCCCTCCCCATGGCTGTGCATGTAACAAAACAAAAACCGAAAAGCAAAGAAAAAAAAAAAGCAATCTTTGATTTTTGTCTTTATTATTCTGACCTTCTTTCTTCAATGCCATGAAAAAAAAAATCTGTTTACCAAATACGTTTTATTTTATTTCCACTTACACGACTCTTCCTTGTTACTCCAGGTATTCCGTGTCCTATAATTGTGGCTTGGGCCATAGGAAAGCTGTATTATGAAAATGAACAGTAAGAAATCCCCTAATAATTTGTGGCCACATAATTAGAATGTTTTCTGGATAATTTCTTTAATTAACGGTACGTTTCTTCTTCTTTTCCTGTTAACAGATGCTGGTTTGGTAAAGAACCTGGAAAATACATGGACTACATTTACCAGGGACCTGTTATTCTTGTGCTTTTGGTGAGCTACAACAAAGAAAACGGACTGTAAATTTATTGCCATCAATTTGACATTATTTGCTAATTAACATAGAAAATCTGCCCTATACTGATTTTTTTTTTTGCATTTCTGTGCAGTGACTAGATTAGAAAGTCACAAAAGCAGTACAGTGCAAAAGTACTGAGCCCCTCACTTTTGAATATTTTGTGCAGCCATTTATTGAAATGTGCAAACATGGAACATTTTTGGTGTGACCACCTTTATTCTTCAACACAGCCTGAGCTCTCTTCGCCAAGCTTTCCAGCAATTCCTTTAAGCAGCCTTCAGGCTCGAAAAAGAACTTTTACAATACCAGCAAGCTTCAAAGGCAGCACGACCAGCTGGTCATACCAACATATTGACTTTCAAGTATTCTTCAGGACAGTCTGGACTCTCTTAGACAAGCTTTTTTTGTAATTTCTTTAAGTAGTCTTCAGAATTAGGCTTCTTTGAAGGACATCAAAAGCTTTTCTTTGGATGTTGTGTTTTGTTCTGTTCTCCATGAAGATGATCCTACACTTTTTCAACAATGTTGTGGTCTCAGCTCTGTGGAGGCCAATCCATGACTAATAGTATTCCACTGTGTTTTTCTATCCAGGTAAGACTTTAGTATGTTGATTGTTTGAAATACAAAAAAAACCCCAAGCTGTTGCCAATCAGATGCTTTAGATGTGATATTACATAGTTAATCAATATCAATTAATTTCACTTTTCTGCATTTTTGATTCCATATGAAAAATACAGCCCCAAAGCAGGACACAGCTTCATGTTTTTACATATGGCCAGTGGTCAGCATTAGGTGAACTGACAAACAAAAAGCATCCCACTGAAAATGGTCAGGTGCAAGGACTGGACTGAAAATGAATTAAAAAGGACTCAATGTCCAAAGAAAAACTTCTGTCGGACTCCTTTGAAGCTAAATATAAAGAAATGAGGGATGACTCATGACTTTTGCACAGAACTGTAGTCTTAAGGGTTTCCAAACAAAAGACTTCTGAAAATAAGAAATTGATTTCACATAAATGTTTGTGCTTATGTAAGTCCTTAGCAACATGTAATATGATTAATCACTGTCTTGTTAAGGAAGATTATATGCTGTGATGAGTGTTACTTCTTCTCTCCCAGCTCAACACTGACTGAGCTGTCTGATATTTTCCCCTCTGTATAATATGTCATTAGCACAGCATTGTGTGTGAATGTGTGTGTGAATGGGTGAATGACTGAATGTAGTGTAAAGCGCTTTGGGGTCCTTAGGGACTAGAAAAGCACTATACAAATGCAGGCCATTTACCATTTACCATTTTAAAGTAATAATTTCCTTATGTCTTCTTCTTCTAGATAAACTTTGTTTTCCTCTTCAATATAGTTCGAATTCTTATGACCAAACTAAGAGCTTCAACCACATCAGAAACAATACAGTACAGGTGAGTTGATTCTGTTGGTAACTGCATATAAATTTAGGAGCAGTACACTTTGTCTTCCTTCTTTCAAGGACATTAAGGAGTGTTTCAGAAGAAGCACATTTTTAGAGTGATTAGACTCATTTAAACCTTTATCATCAGCATCAGACCTCATTTCATGCAAATCTAAGAGCGTTAATATCCTATCAGTGAACAGATGTTTGGTGATCAAAGGGTCCGGTGTTAATGATAATTAAATCAAACTGCTATTAAGGAAGAAATCTGTTATTGTGGTTGTGACTTTTGCCTTATGACTTTAAGGCTAAGTATTGGAAATTTTGTGGGAAAAGAAACTAACTTCACTAAAAAACTGTGCTGTGATTTGGTGTCTTGTGAAATTTGGATGGTAGAGTCATAGACCACATGAAAGCATCCATCCAACCTTGTATGAATGGTTCAGGCTTTTGGTGGTGCTGTGATGGTGTAGGGGGGATATTTTCTTGACATACACTGGGCCCTGTTGTACTACATGATCATCATTTAAACACTGACCACCTCCATCCCTTCATGACTACAGTGTACCCATCATCTGACGGCACAAAGCTCAAATCATCTCCAAGTGGTTTCTTCGACATGACAATAAATTCACTTCGCAAATGCCAAATGTCGCCACATGTCAATCCAACAGTGCACCTTTCGGATGTGGTGAATGGGAGGTTCACATCATGAATGTGCAGCTGACAAATCTACAGCAACTGCGAGATGCCGTCATGTTAAAACGGATCAAAGTCTCTGAGGAATGTTTGAGGAACCTTATTCAAACTATGCCACAAAGGATTAATGCAGTTCTAAAGGCAAACAGGGGTCCAACACAGGTCTAACCTGGTAACCAGTGTGCTTAATAAAGTATATAATAATAATAATAATATAAGCCTGAAACAAAATAAGTATATTGTCTTGTCTTGTAACTTATTACAGGACACTGCAAAAGTATTACAAATGTGCTTCTTACCCATAAAATAAAGATTCAAGACAAACGCCTCAACCTTAGTGAACTCAGTTGCAATACTTCATGCAAGAAGTTCTTTCATTTACACGCACTAGTAACAGTTAAAGGGGAAAAACCTTGAGTTTGTCTGATTCTGTGTGCCTGAGAAGAGAGCAGAGATTTAGCGTGCGCTTGAGAGGCACGAGCTGAGTGCATACCTGAATTATGCTGTTAGGTTGTAGATCTGGAATGGCTGAAATTGCTAAAAGAGTGAGCTTGTTTTCCTACCTGCTGTTACTGTGTCAAGTGTGTTTTTCTCCAGTGGGGATTATTTCAAGCGCACAGAGTGTTTTCAGTGTCACGGCTCAGACAATCTGAGTGTAGTCTTTTCAGGCTGGGGCTGGATTGCTGGTGGTTGTTGTGAGCCATACAAATTTAAGCAAATGAAGCACAGGGGTTTCAAGCTGAACTTCTTGACCTTAAAAAAACCGATTGTTTTAAAATGAAAATTATAATCAGTAAGGGCAAAGAAAGGTTTGTGGTCATCCCTAAATTATGGGACTGTCATAGCTCATATTAAAAGTCCCCACCATGGTCTTTTCTGTTATTCCTTGAATTAGGTTTGGCTGTTGCCCTTATGATCTTGAATCTTTTTCTCACGTGAGTGCTTTCAGAGTTTTCCCTGTCTGAGCCTGTGTGTATTTTGTTCTGCAAGTATTGGGTTTTTTTGTCCTTCTTTCTTTTACTTGCCCTTTTTTGTTTTCCTCATGTGGCTTTATGTGTTTTCACTTTCTTTTTCCACCCTGATTTGATTGATTTCTCCTGTGTCTTATTATCCCTCTCCCTAGTCCGTATAGGCGTTGTTACATCTCTCGCCTGTTCTCGAGACTCCCTTGTTTTCTGCTGCCTCCCTGTGTTTTGGATTGCTCCTGTTGGGTTTTAGATTCCATGGATTTGGATTCATTTGAGTTTTTCCATCACACTTCACACTGCTTTTGGTTGTCTATGAGTTCTAGATTAAGGTTTCTAGTTTATCCATCCACTTGCCAGTGCCTGCTGTGTCTGCTTATTGGATCCTCTTGTGAACATTTCAAAGTATGGGACAGTTTGAGCTTTATTTTGAAAAACAAATTCAGAGAGCCGAAGCAAAATTGGCTTGGACGTGCTCAGAGGAGGCGTAGTGGACATGTTGGACATGTGACAGGACCACAGAGGAGGTTTATGGATGCAGTGGAGGAGGACATAAATCATCCACATTTTCATCTATAGATGTGATGGCTTATTGTTGCATTGCAAAACCAAGAAAGCTAAACTTTGCTCTTATTCACACTGTCAAAATTATTACAGAAGAGCTAGAATTATATGTGACATACATATTTTTGCTACCCCTGAAAAGGGGCCCATCTTCCAATCTGAAACATCCATGTGGTGGAGGGTGACATTTTTATTTTTATCCCTGTCTGCCGCTGACACAGAGTCATGCATTTTCCAGAATCCACTGGGCTGACATTCAAGGCTCAATTTTTGCAATTCTATAAATGAGACTCCAACTCTGTCTTCACAGAAAAGCCGTGAAAGCAACACTAGTCTTGCTACCTCTGCTCGGCATCACCTACATGCTCTTCTTTGTGAATCCGGGGGAGGATGACATCTCGCAAATTGTGTTCATCTATTTCAACTCCTTTCTACAGTCTTTTCAGGTGAGATTATGATTAATAATACAGTGTGACAGTGGCCAGAGTTTGAAAGCTCACACTCACTGCCCACAAAGCTAAAAATATGAATCATTCTGATTTCTTAATGTGTTTTTATCTCAGAGTTGTATCGCTACTTTAAAGAGCGACTTTTCAGGTTCTAAGGCTTCTTGTGGGAAGATGATTTGAAGTAGCATCCTGGCTGCGCTTACACACAACATGGCCCTCCTACCTCATGTTCAGTGCTCTCAGCTGTCAGGAATAACAGAGCCATGTGGGCATGATTTCTGCTCTGTGGCTATTATTTATTTATTTATTTATCTCCTGTGCTTAAATGTAGGGCTGAGCAGGGGGAGGGGGGGTTCGAGTAGAGCTTTAAAAATTCTATATTTTGCTTTGGAAATTTGTTTTTCCTTGTCTTTATAATGATTGCGTCTAATTACAGTGCCATTACATAATACAGGCACATTTTCTGCTTCTAATTCTAATGTGTCTTATTTTGCAGGGGTTCTTTGTGTCAGTGTTTTACTGCTTTCTAAACGGAGAGGTGAGTCACTGGAGTTTAGCAAAACGCCCGTTATTTATGATGTTAATTTTACTGTCAATGTCTTTGGGTTTTTTTCTTTGATACACAAGCTTAATAAAACCATAAATTGATAGCCTTAATTCGTTTTAATATTGTTTTTCTAACTTGCCTCCAAGTTAACATTTTTATGTTCAACCAGGGGGAGGATCAAGTAGCTGTAATAGAAAAGAAAATGCCAAAGAGTTTCCGTGCAGTCAGTGAAATAACAGCATAGAAAACTTTTATGAGGCTGTCTCATTTTTGCCTGATTGAAATAAAAGCAAATTACCAAAACTCCAGCTGGTTGAAAGTCATTAACGCCATTATGATTACACATAAATTGTGATAAATTGTGATAGAAAAAAAATGAAGGACTCTCTTGCTGCGCGCTCTCATCCCTAAAATTATTGAAACTCGGGGGTAAAGAGTTTGTTAATTTAATGACGTGATGTGAAGAAATTGAGTCATCCTATTTGAACAGATATTAATTGCAATTTAAGACTCTGAGTGGCAAACAACAAAACGAAAAAAGCAATTGTGTGACTTTAGGCCACATTACAAACGACTGCTGTAAAGCGGTCCTTATTTAAAAAATGAAAAATTAGGAGGCTTGACTTAACTATTGCTATTTATTATATGATTTTGCTAGTATAGTGCATAAAAACCACCCAGCTCTGTCACAGCTTGTTGTTTTCCGATTTTGGTTTTTGTCCATATGGACATTCTGGCTTCCTGTCTTTGTCTGGCTTTAGTATCATTTTTAGAAAAAGAAATAGTGCATAAATATGTAGAACACTTTTCAAACCACAGCTACAAAATGCTCCACTAATATAAAACAAAATACAAAATGACAAATACCACAAATATAGAAATGTCATCAAAACTTACGCTCCCTTTTTATGTGAGCTGTCAGGGTGGGTGTGACACTTTAATATAACCCCTGATTTGGCTTCATTAGTTGGAAGGAAATTTGGAGCTATCCAGCTTTTTATTGCCGAAAGACGGACAGGGATCTGAGAATGGTCAGTATAGTTTATATATCATCTGACATAAATAGAGCTTAACACAAGTAGAATCAAGGCTAATGAGAGACTAATAGATCTATTTGCAGGACTCAAACTGAAATTGATTCAATTGGCTACTGACGTGGTTCATAAGACAAAAATATCCAGTACCAGGGGATCCAATTATTAATTTCTTCTGCAGTGGTCAAAGTCAAACCGTGTTATGTTTATTACTGTCAGTTATCTAGACACAGAACAAGTGTTAATTGAAAGAATTTGTGTCAAAACATCCTTTTTCTGTCATAATGCTGTGTGAGGCAGGCAGGAATAGGACCCAAAAACGCAGAACACACATGCAGGGCTGAACTCACTTTACTGCTGGATTCAGAAACTAAGCTAACTGAAAAAATAAACAAAACAAAACTGGAATGACACTAAGAAACTAAACAGCCAGAATACACAGCCGGAGGAATGAGGGAGATCAAGAAGAGGCCGGAGGAGACACAGGCATATACACACCAGGATTAAGGGCAGAGAGGAAACACCTGGGAAACACGGCTGGACATAATCTAACTGACGAGACAAGGGAACCAAAACTGAACAAGATGCACACAGGACAAGAGACTGTCAGAATAAAACAATAAACATGCACTGAGCCGCAGACTGACTGAATACAGGGAACAGAGGGAGGAGAAAGAGACGAGTAGGTAGACACAGACAGGGGGCAAGAGAGTGAGAGCAACCAGTCAGATACACAGAGACATGACTGGGAAACAGGCGAATAAACAGGGAGACGAGAGAGACTTCACAGGGAGGCACAAATAACTAACACAGGAGATTCTGGGGAGGATGCACACAGACCGAGACAAACGGGACACGAAAGGGAACAAAACTTGATGTACGAAGAAATAACCCCAGGGCTCTCAAACTGAACATAATAATCACAAATACTCCATGAAGAAAGAACAAGAGCAAACAATGCAAAACAAAATGCCTCATGAAGCCAAACAAACTCAAAACACTAGGTCAACGACCCAGGTCCATGACAGTTTCAGATACTGGGTCAATTATAGACCGGCAAGCCATTGAAATCAAATGAAACATTACGTCCTTCAAGTCTAAAGGATGCATTTATTTATATAGTGAGGCATAGTGTTAGCATGTTTAGTAGGAAATTTGAAGCGTTGACTTAAGTCAGTGGTGTCCAACTCCAGGCCTGAAGGGATGGTGTCCTGCAGGTTTTAGATGTGTCCTTGATCCAACACAGCAGATTTAAATGGCTAAATGACCTCCTCAACATGTCTTGAAGTTCTCCAGAGGCCTGGGAATGAACTAATCATTTGATTCAGGTGTTTTGACCCAGGGTGAGATCTAAAACCTGCAGGACACCGGCCCTTCAGGCCTGGAGTTGGACACCCCTGACTTAAAGGTATACTGATTGAGTTGATTATCTTGAGTTGAGGTAACGTGGTTGTAATTTTGTAGCAAGGATTTTGCTTTTTGAGACTTTTGGATTAATATTGATGTTATCTGGAATTGTTGAGGCTCTTTAGTCAAAGATCTTGAATTGATCAAAGCAAACAGAAACACTGAGGCATATGCATCATTGTGATGGAAAGAAAGATTCCTGAATAAAACTCTGTTGGAGGATATCATAATGAGAGGGACCGCATTTTCCGCTCTTAACCCAAATGAATCAATCAGATGCTTTCTGGCAGCCAAACCATGAAACACTTGAGGGAAGATGAACAACTTTAATAATTGACTGACACTTTTCGGCTTGTGGCCTTCATCAGGGCCTTCATCAGGCCACATCTTCCCTCAAGTGTTGCTGGAGTTCCTGCATTGTGAATTCTTTCATCCTCTCCATGCACCTTGGAAGTAGGTGAAGTTGTGCCAGAAATTTTTGCAGCCAAACCATGAAACAAATTAGTAAGTCATGTTGTTACAAGTGCACAGTCAAGTTTCAACATTTTGGGGATAGACATAAATATGCGTAGTGTTGTTTTTCTTAGTTTACTGTACCCATATTAATTAAACTGGTTTTTCTTCAGTGGTCTGGTGGAATGAGTCAGGAGGATTGTGTTGGGACTCTTGATTGAGCCGATAGTGAAGCCAAAATGCTGTGTAACTCTTCACAAGTGAAGTAGACGTATAACTTCTGAGAAAGAAACCTTTTTTTTCCAGGGCAAAGTTGCCAGGCCTTTTAAGCAGTTTCACTCAATGATTTGATGCATGCAATTTTTATGTTCTGGGGGACCATTGAAATTCCCATTCTTTTAAATGGGGTCTTTAAAATAAGTGCCCAAATAACTGCCTAAAAGTGTTAAGAAGATGTCAAGTCCTAGCAAGTAGCAGGACCTGCATCAAAGAACATTGACTGCAGTCATTAAAATTAATGTGAGTGTGGAAAACTTTGTACCTGACTTGGATTCAAAGGACTGAATACGGACACGGGGAGGTGGATGAGCAGCAGAGACAGAAATTAGGTTTTGTGGCCAAATATGCTGAAATCACCATTTATTTGATTTTAAAATATAACGCCAGATCATGGTGGAAGGTTGTGAAGGTGACTTTTATTAAGAATCACATTCAGAAAATTTTAATAAAAGAAAAACCTATAAATCGAGACAAAAGGACAACAGACGGGGAGTATAACGATTATGTCACGTTTGATCGTAATCGAGAGGAAACAGAAATTAAATCAGTATAATAATGGAGTTTAATTTATACATAAAGACACACATTGTGGGAACAGAGCCCTTTAAATTATTGGCAAAAAAGTTATATTTTTTTAATATAACATTTTTACCTGAATATTATTTTTCATTAGTTAGTTAATTAGTTAATGTGTTTACGGTCTCATAGTCTACCGTTAAAGTCATACATTTACAGTCATGAGAAAATCAGAGTTTTAACAGGACTCATTATAATCTTGTTAAAAACTTAGCACACCCTTACTGCTTCCACAGGAATGCAGTGGGTATTGTAAGTAGCAGCCAGGTGCTGCTAATCAAATGCACTCAATCAGCTGCTCATCAACAAGTGTGACAACCTCTTTGGTGACAGAAACAGCAAAAAATCCAAGAACCACATCGCAGACTCTACAGGATTTAGTTAGCATGTTAAGTGTTAAAGTTCATGAAAGTATAATTAGAAGAAAAACGAGCAAGCACGGTTTGTTTAAAAGGGTTGTCAGGAGAAAGCATCTCCAAAATCACATGGCAGGAACGCTTAGGTTTGCAAAGTTGCAACTGAACAAACCACAAAACGTCTGGAACAATGTCCTTTGGACATGTGAGGCCAAAGTAGGGATGTTTCGCCATAAAGCACAGTACCATGTGTGGAGGAACCCAAACACAGCAAATCAGCACAAACACCTGAGACCAACTGTCAGCACCGTGTTGGAGGGCTGATGATTTCGGCTGTTTTTTGCTGTTACAGGACCTGGGTACCTTGCAGTCACTGAGTCGACCACAAACTCCTCTGTATACCAAAGTACTCTTTCAAATGTGAAGCCATTTGTCCAATAGCTAAATCAGCAGCAAATCTATAACAGAATCTGAAAAAGAAAAGAGTCAAAGTGTTATAATGCCAAAGTCAAGACCTAAACGTGACTGAAATGATGGAGCAGGACCTTAAGAGAGCTGTGCATAAACAAATGCCTACAAACCTCAATGAACTGAAGTGTTGTAAAGAAGTGTGGGTTCTTCCAGAGACTGGAAGTCATACAGAAAACAATACTTCAAGTTAAGGAGCGCTAAAGGTGCTTTCTACAAGCTGAACTGAATAATGGAGTTTCACAGGACTGCACAGAATCTTCTAAAACAATTATTTATTCACATGGCTCTATCTTTACATTAAACAATTAAAATGACTTCCCAAAATGTTGTATAATATCTTAAAAAATAATTAGAAGTTTATTGTAATATTCTTTTATTCTCTATATATCTTGTTATCGTTGTAGGTTCGCTCAGCAGTAAGAAAACGGTGGCACCGCTGGCAGGACAACCACGCTCTTCGAGTTCGAGTGGCACGAGCCATGTCTATCCCGACCTCTCCGACCAGGATCAGCTTCCACAGCATCAAACAGACCACAGCCGTGTGACCACAGAAACACGCAATCTCCATACTGATTCCTCCAGCAAGGTCGCTGCTTGTCCGGTATGACTAAGGAGTCATTTATTTTGCCTGGTGACAAAAGTTCATTTTAACTGCACAAAAAGGACATGAAGTTCTCGTTATAAGGTACCGTTCGGGACGTAGACGGGCTGGGTTTTTCGAAACAACGTAATGGTTCAATGGTCACATTACAGCAGGTTTGACCCTATAATTTTAGTGTTGTTACTGGTTATGAGTACTTGAAATTTGACTGACCATGACGCATTCATATGTTGCCAAAACTGCCATTTGTATCTATTATGATAAAAATGCTAAACTGCTCTTTGAATTACCTGCTCTTTATCAGCAGCTTAATTTGACAGAAAGAAGCTTTTTGGTAAGGAAGAAAACAGAAAACAGCACAGAGTAAAAAATAATAATAATAAAAAATGAGTCATAACACTCTGAAGTGAAAACAATTTAACGTACAGTCATCAGCTGCTTTTTTTTAACTAAAACACAATCTCAACACATGATGTTTTGGTTAATGTGAGATGTGGCTATTTTATACAAACAAGCCATTGTTAAGAAGCTTTTATATGGTTTATATGGTGTCTTTTTTTTAAATCATTTTTCTTCTTTCTTTTTTACATCTTTCTTACTGTTGTAAACATTGGTAAATACTTTTTCCCCCTCTTTGTTCTGAGGATTTGATTTTACAACTATTTTTATTTCCTTTTGTTAGACTTGGTCTTATTTTTTTGTTGCTTTTTTTTTTTTTACTGTGCAAGGAAGGTGTTGACATAAAGAGCAATTTAACGTGTTATGTGTTTGAACTCCCCGAGAGCGATAAATGAGCGTTCCCAACTTAGAGTTCTCTTGCAGACGAGGAAAGGTATGATTATATATACATTATTTTATGGAGCCAAGTGATTCTCATTTATGTAATCTGTTAAGTGCTGTGCATGGATTTGTCATGCAGGCACAGTGGAAGCAGATTAAATTCTTTTGGCTTTACGAAATCCTTGTGGCTTCCTTATAATCAGTGTCACATAGGAAGCTTCTGGGTCAAAGGAAGAGGAGCTTGACAATATGAGGACCGATCCTTTTCCTAAACCCTTGCTCTGGTGAGATCAACCTTCTGCTTGCCTGTAACCCCGGCTCTTACACCTCCTAAGGCTGCTCACCCAATAGTAATTTAAACAGCCATGTATGGACAGATAATAATAAGGGAGGAAATGTTTGTTATGAAAAGGTTTATCGATAAATTACAGCAAGCTTACATTTTGATGCACATATTCCCTTCTGTGTTGATAGATTAGCTACACATCTGTTAAATAAAAACTGTCTGACATTTGATGGGTGGCAAAATCAGCACCCCTCATTTCTGTTTGATGTGTGTTTTGTGTGGATTTAACAATAACGCTTAATACTGTGATACTCTAGAGGGGTCATTAAGAAGATTTTGCAAGCTTCGGACAGAAAGTGGATAACCTTCCCATGTTTTATTTATTTATTACGTTTATGTATTTATTTCAGATTATATTTGCATTGATATCGGGGTTTGTATTTAAAAGTGTCACATAAAACATCCAGAATTTATTTCAAAAACTGAACCCATGTGAAGATGGTGTACATAACACAAAAGATTTAATCACATCTTGATGTAAAAAAAAAAGTATTTTGTAAACTTTTGCTACATTACAACATCTGTTTCTGTTGATCTTAGTTCATTTTTGCTGTTGCTGCTTGATGACGCTTGATGTTAGCTGGTAAATACTGATCACCTCTCATTATTTACCCATTAATATATAACTCTGATCAAGGGCGTCATAAGTTAGCCATGACATTGCGCACCCTCCCAAGACTTCAATATGTTACATACATACAAAGTGTACCACATTACATTACAACTGTGACGTATTTTCATAAAGAAACTTTTTTTAAACAAATGTGAATAAAATATAAATAAAACTATATTTTATTTGAACTCACCAAAGAGAGAAACCATGTTTACTGACATACTGACTTTTTAACTGCCTATGTATTTCTATTATTTCCACTGGACTTTGTCGACCAAATCTTGTTTATTTTGTACATCGTTTGTTGTACATGATGTGTATTCAGTGCTGTTTGATGTCAGACATAATTTTATAAAAACTCTTTGTTGAACAACCCAGGTTGCCTTATAAACAAAAGAAAAAAAAAGTTTTGTGAAAATGAAGCCGTTGTCTCTGTAAATCATGTATCTTTGTGTTACTTGTATACACTTGGACTGTATGTGTGAAAAAATGATTTTGATTAAAATTTTACTTTAAATTATATAACACACTATATATTTTGGAGCGGGGCATTTCAGTGCATTGGGTCCATACAGTTTGAAAATCTTACAAAAGTCACAGATTGCACTAATAGAATCTGTTCAGCTGATTCATTTGCTGTGTATCTCCCTCACCTCCAGGCACTTTATAAAATAAATACAGCAGTTTTATAATGATCCAATCTCATACTTATTCTTCTGATAGACTGAACGACTGCTGCTTCACTGGCATTTCCTGATCTGAAATTGTAGTTTTTACTCACAGAATGGAAGACACACTCAGAGAGCACTTGCTAGACACTGTTTCATACACTTCAGGCTTGACTGGAGTGAAATGGAGCAGAAACTACAGCCTATCCCCAGAACCCTCAGGATTTGAGTTATACATCCCCAAACAATCGGCCGGGACTCTGATGTAGCCCAATCAAGCCTTATTGTGACAATTAATGTTTCTAATGGTTTCCAGCATTGCAAAAGATAGACAATGCTATCAGATTCTTCAGTATCATGCCAGACGTGTGCAGCACATCTGCACAGCATCATGGATTATTTGCCCTGAACTCCCATGTGTCTGCATTAAACTGCATTCCACATTGCATCAACTAAAAATAAATAACCAGCATGACAGCAAAAGGCTGCCACTAAGCCTCGAATTTCAAAATAAACCCATCTGTAATGTAATATTTATATCTTAAGCTCAGATAAACTAATAAATGACCTCGCTTAATGAAGTATCTCCCATCACTTAATTATTGCTGCTTTAAGCCAAAACTCCTGCAAAGGTCACCCTGCTGGTTTTATACATAAAGGTAAGTTAATAGCAATTCCCACAGGCAGCATCCTTCAGCCTGGCTGTAAAGGAACTTTATTAAGTTTGCGTTTTCAACTTCAGACTTCAAGACTATAAATTTCTAAAAGATGGTGTGCATCACATGTGCACATAGAGGGTGGAGTAAACCTTAAAAACACATTTACCAGCCTGGTGGGGCTAAGAAAACAATGTTTTTGGTGGTATTTGCCTTCAAGGTTTTCTGGCAGAGAAATTCTCGACATTGTAGCGAGAGGATATATTTTAATCCAATCCCTAATATTATTCTAAGCTTTACCAAGTAGTTTTGTTGCTTAAAAATAACCAACAGCACCTGGAAACTGAAAACATTACAAAAGAAATTAAAGCTCTCTGTCAATAAGCCGTAAAGGGAAGCTACTCCCACTGGCAGTTGCTCACATCTTCACCACTGGCAAAACAGTTCTTACTGGTTGACTTGAAATGAGTCAGAACCACTGTGCCAGCACATTAATGTCTTCAGCCACACCGGATTTATAGCTCTGCTTTAATGTTACCTCGTGATGATGGGCCTAATCAGCATTGAGTCAACTCAGTTAGCAAGCGGTTTAATGTAAATTATGCTCTCTGGCTTTAAAACTCTTGATCTTAAAAACGAATTTGACACAACAGAATAAGCGTCTCTTTCTTTTTTTCTTCTCTGGAGAAGCACCATGCTTACAATTACACAGGTAACAGGCAATTCAAAGTAAACCAGGACTTTTTAAACATGAATACTTGATTTTTCCTTAAGGGTAAACCTTAAGGGTGAATGGCATTAAAATATATAAACTGTTTTCTTCCAGGAGTTTTGTTATTAAACGGAATTAATGTGGAAATTATTCCAATATGATGCTGCCAGTTTACTGCATTACTTAAACCATACAGTCAATATGTCCCAGCAACTACAAACTGGTGCCAGTCTAGCCGTCTGGAAAATTGGCTGTGAACACATAATAGGTAAATATACTATATAGCCTGAAGCGGCTGGATGAGGAAAGCAGACTGAAAAAGATTATGATGAAGGTCAGCAGAGCAGTGAAAAAGAAGTGCTTGAAAAGCTATTTAAGGTGAAGGATAATGCCACGGTGAACTTGTTTCGAAATGAGTTAATCCCAAAATGGGATAGTCTTTACTGTAATGTCAAGATACAAGCGAAAAATCAAATACATTTCTTTTTTATATTCAGATTTCAGACTTATGTTGAAATATGTTGTTTGTTTTTCAGCAATATCAGGAAAATAATGTAGGCGTAGCATGTTTGTATTTGTAGCCTCAGGTCTCAGGTAACAAACGAATGTAGTAAGTGGGTCCTTTTCAACTCATTCACAACTAGCGAAACCCCACAAGTATAAATAATGTCTAAGATTGTGATTCATTTAATTGAATGGTGCAGGCATAAAGCAACGGCGCTGAATATTTTACTTATTATTGCATAGGTCCATAGAGCACCTGTTCAACCTAATCTACAAGATGACAATGACGATATTGTTCAGAAATCTGAGCGCTTTTGTTCCTCTTGGGGAAATAAAAGGAAGATCCTTGTACAGGGTTGATGTCGTTAAGCTTGTATGAACTTTACCACCAAAATAGTATTTAAGCAGTACTACATAACAATGCTCACAAACAGCGAACATTTTATCAGTTATGGTAAATTGGCTCATTATGGGTCTTACTAGAGGCGTGGGTTTACACGCTGATTAACGAGCATTATGAAACTAACCCTGCCATTGGATAAAATGCCAACCAGAATTTAAATGACTTTCCGTAATGTGGGACTAGCAGGATGGATAGGCTGTGGCACCTTAATGTCCCTCATTTGTATATTTGTAGCAGGGCTGGAGGTGAAGAATGGCATGTTGTTTTTCATTCGTCAGTGTTTACAGAATCCCCACATTTACCGCAAGTGAGACATTTTTTGAGCAACAGCTCCCTCTGTTGGCTGATTAAGGAAAGTACTATTCTTTCAAAATTTCCTGTGATTGACACTGTAGTAAGTGCTGCTGCCCTATATTAGGTTTAATACAGACTTTAAATGTCAGTATTTATTTTTTTACTCTAAAGATGCTTTTCTCTTGGGGACTTTGACAAAATAAAATACATTTTGAGAAACGAAATTTAGGTATAACATTTTTAGAAGAAGTAATTGAATCAAATATATGCTCATTTACAGCAAACTACAGAGATTTTATATAGTTTCCTATTTTAATTGTTGTCCTGTTGCTATCTTAAGAATAACAAACAGGACACTCTATTGATTTGTCTG